GGATTAGATGGGGGCATTAAGATGGAGTGCATCAATCTTGTTGTGTGATAGAAAAGTCCTCAAGCTTAAGAGAAAATTCTATAAGATGGTGATGAGACATGCAATGCTTTATGGTGCAGAATGTTGGCCATTAAAAGAGAAGCATAATATTAAATTAAGTGTTGCTGAGATGAGGATGCTCAGGTGGATGAGTTGATTTACTCTTAGTGACAGGATATGAAATAAGCATATCTGTGAAAAGGTTGGAGTATCTCCAGTGATAGATAAGATTAGAGCCAGTCGCCTTATATGGTTTGGTCATGTAAAATGGTTGACTTCTGATGACTCTGTTAAGAGAGTAGATGTATTAGATTTGTCCTATATTAAGAAAGGTAGAGGTAGACCTAAAAAAACTTAGTTAGAAAATATTAGAAATTACCTTTCTTTATTAGATTTAAATGAGAATTTGACTCTTAACAGAAAATAATGGAGAAAAAATGATTCATGTAGCTGATCCCACATAGTGGGATAAAGGCTTGATGTTGTTGTTCATACAAATAATGATTGTTGATTATTATTTTCGATCAAATAGTGGTTAACTATATGTTGATCTAGGATTCTAATAATATCATAGTATTGAAATCAACAAGGATGGGTTGCTTGTGTTATAAGTAGTATATGACTCGTGAGGATATATGATGCAAGCAAAAATTTGGAAAAAGCCCAAATTTTTGCAAGCGAAAACAAAAGCTTCCTAGGAAATAGAAATTAGACAAAATACTCAAAAGACACCTTTTATAATATAAATGGACGCTTACAAATGACACATTAAACACTTTAAAACATAACAATGACACTTACAAACTTATAATCTGGAAACACCTAAAAATGCCTTTCACCCGTTGCTTTGAGAAGAATGATACATGTGGCGTCGAACTTGCGGAGTGAAGAAGGAGATTAGAAGTCGAGATGAAATATAGCTCGCAAGCTATAGAGAGGAGAAGAGATGGGGGACATAGCTCGCAAGCTATTCCCAAAGAAGAAAAACCCTCAGTTTTTTTTACTCCAAAAATTGGCACATAACAACCCCTTTTCTATTACAAAACACCTTATATTTATAAGAGAAAAAGGGTAGCCAAACAACCATAATTATCTTCATTTAAACCCATTAAATCAGGCCAGCTTTCAGTCCAAAACATCACCCAAAAGGCCACACAGAAAACTAGGAAAAATTAGCCACGGGACAAGCAACCAGGGAGGAAACCGAAGGGGCTGCACAGGAACTGGACCAGTAGCCAGGCAGGGAACCGAAGGGGCACAAAGGGGACTGGAACCAGCAGCCAGTAAGGGAGAAATAGCAGCCATGGGAAACAACACCAAGGAGAAATCGAGGGGTCACAAAGAAAGGAAAAAGACATGGTTCCAACTCCACATAATGAGCTTTCAAGTGCAATTAATCTTCCAAATAATGAGCTAAAACATCAGCTCAAGCATTAATGAGCTAGAACCAAGTAGCTCCCAAAAATTCAGCCATAAACCAAAGCAGACAAGGCCCAACCCGAGAGGCAACAAACAGCCCAAAGACCAAAGAACCTAAGATATTTAGATCTCCCCTTTGCCTACATCAATTCTCCTCCGGTTGAAGAAGCTAATCTCTCGATGAGGTTATTTTTAACTTTTTCATTTGTGCAGAATATGCCAAATCCAATTCTTTAATCTTAGCTTTGTATTTCCTTTCAATCAATTCTTTTTCATGAAGAAATTGTTCCTGAAGTCATTGCTTTCTCTTCTCGAATTTTTTGTCACATAAGTATATCAATCTTTCTATCTTGAAAAGTTCATTTTGAATCTGGTCTGTTGAATCTCCCTGAGGTGGAACCCTTTCTACAGTTGTGATGCAATCATGATTTTTGTATTTTTATTATCAAACATTGAGTATTAGTTTTTATTTAATTTTATATTTTTTTAGCTATCCAATGATGGGAAAGCATCCAATGGTCATGGTAGACCTTGGTTTGCTAGCTTGATTGGGTCCCTTGGGCTGCTGCTGGTTCTCGGGTTGGGCTAATTGTTCATGGTTTTGAGCTGGTGTTGATGTTGGGAGGTGGTGGTTGCTTTGGTGTTGGACTATATTTTCAATTGTGCTAGCTCATTAATGTTGAACTGAAGTTTAGTTCACATGGGAGATTTATTGCACTTCCTTGCTCATCAATCCAAAAAGGTATGCTATTAATTCTTGGATTCATTTGGAGTGGACTTGTCTCTTCTCCTCCCCTTTTTCTTTTCGTTTTCCTGTGCTGGGTGATTTTTCTGTGCCTTTGCCCCTTTGGTTTCCGTGGCTGGCTGCTCGGTTCTGCGGCTAGCTGCTCGGTTCCGTGGCTTTTCTGCTTAGTTCCCGTAATCTCTCTTCTCTGTTTTGCTGTGCCGTTTGGGGACTGATGTGGTGGCTGTTGGCCTTTCATTTCCCTAAATCTAATTGGTTTAGTTGGAGGTGTTATGGCTGTTTGGTTTACCTCTCTTGCCTATATATTGAAGATGAATTTTGAAGGAAAAGGTTGTTGAATTTTGTTGAGCATTCTCTCTTAAAAAACCTGAGGGTTTTCTTCTTCTTGGAAAAGCTTGAGAGCTTTGTCCACCTCTTCTTCTCCTCTATTTCGTCTGGGCTTCTTACCTCTTTCTTCTCTACGCAAGTTCCACTCCATTTGTATCCTTATTCTTGAGCCTTGGAGGTGATTGTTGGCTGATTTGGGAGCATTTGTTGTAGGAGTTTGGTTGGACGTTTGGACTATCTTACTGTGGTGGACAATCGGTTTGCTAGTCCTAAGCACATACTTTACTTAACATACATTTCGATGCATGTGAGGAAACCGTTCTGTCGATTGTTCTTAGGATAACGACTTTTTAAATTTCTTTTGTTTCTTTTGATTTCTCTTCTAGTTTTATCCATCGGTTTTGTGCTTATAGATGATTTCTACTATTTGAATCGAGTTTGGTTATAGTTTTGCCTATCGTTCTCCTTATCTGGCTTTTCTATCTAGTTTGTCTGCATCAAGTTTGAATCTTCACATCCTGAATAGTTGGTTCTTAAGTAAATTTGGTAGGGTCAAATTCTCCTTGGGACTCTTTAATTTTGAATCTTGACATGAGGCTTCCGAAGGCTGATTGCATGGACTATGACTAAAAAAAAGCATGACTCAAAAACAAAACTCACATGACACACACTTACCTGACAACTAACTTGACACCAAAAACTTATGATTTACTAACTTGCTCTGGTACCAAATTGATGCAAGCAAAAATTTTGGAAAAAGCCCAAATTTTTTCAAGCAAAAACAAAAGTTTCCTAGGAAATAGAAATTACAAAAAATACTAAAAAAACACCTTTTATAATATTAATGGACGTTTACAAATGACACATTAAACACTTTAAAACATAACAATGACTCTTACAAAGTTATAATCTGGAAACACCTAAAAATGCCTTTCATCCGTTTCTTTGAGAAGAAAGATACAAGTGGCGTCGAACTTGTGGAGAGATGAAGGAGATTAGAAGTCGAGACGAAATATAGCTCGCAAGCTATAGAGAGGAGAAGAGATGGGGGGATATAGCTCGCCAGCTATTCCCAAAGTAGAAAAAACCCGCATGTTTTTTTACTCCAAAAATTGACACATAAGAACCCCTTCCTATTACAAAACACCTAATATTTATAAGAGAAAAAGGGCAGCCAAGCAGTCATAATCATCTTCATTTAAACCCATTAAATCAGGACAGTTTTCAGTCCAAAACAACACCCAAAAGGCCACATAGAAAACTGGGAAAAATCAGCCATGGGACAAGCAACCAGGGAGGAAACCGAAGGGGCTACACAGGAACTGGACCAGCAGCCAGACAGGGAACCGAAGGGGCACAAAGGGGACTAGAACCAGCAGCCATCAAGGGAGAAAGAGCAGCCACGGGAAATAGCACCAAGGAGAAACCGAGGGGACACAAAGAAGGGGAGAAGACAAGGTTCCAACTCCACATAATGAGCTTTCAAGTGCAATTAATCCTCCAAAAAATGAGCTAAAACATCAGCTCAGTATTAATGAGCTAGAGCCAAGTAGCTCCCAAAACTTCAGCCATAAATTAAAGCAGTCAAGGTCCAACCCAAGAGGCAACAAGCAGCCCAAAGACCAAAGAACCTAAAGATGTTTAGACCCCCCCTTTGCCTACATCAACATAGAATCTAAAAACTGTAACTAGCTATAGTATTTTTATTTTTTACTTGTTTCAACCGTTTCATTATTTGTTTCTAGAAGCCATTTACAGTTCAATTTAGCTGTAAATTTTTACTTTTGGTGATGACTAGAATTATATTATTTGCAAGATCACGTTCTACTGATGATATTATTTTTCCTCATATCTTTTCTTCTTTTGTGCTGTAAGATCTTTATTATCGTTAAAATAATGCTTACTTCTAACAACCAGAAAATCAAACCCTGTGTGCAATCACTGGAAGATGAAATTTTAATTTTATGATATCTGTAGTTATTGAATTAAAAATGTGGTTCTCTATTTTGTTGTGGAAAAGATGATAGTCTGATGAAACTATTGCCTCAGAGCCTCCGTGATATTCCATCTTTACCCTATCTCTTTTGATCATTTTAAAATTTTAAAAAATGATGTTTCACCATAACGTTTAATGAATTCTTAAATTAGCACGCCTCTTATAGTGGTCACCATTTATCTTAATAACTGACTACTGGTCTATGGTCTCGCATCATTCAGTCTTGTTAAGATGTTATTTGGAATGCAATTTGGATTCCTTGTGTTTTGATATATAAAATCTCCAATGTTGTTGCTTAAATAAGTCTTGAGGCTGCCTTTGCACGATGAATTATTGAATTTAATTTTTTTTTAGTAATAACTCCTGTTGTTTGACTACTATTTTGCCAATGCTTTCTTGATAAGGATTTATAAATAGAGTTACATTGAATTCAATGATTCACTTATTTTCTTCTTTTATTCAATTATTTTGCAGCTTTTGGGATGGTTATTTTGAACACCTGATGGAGCATTCTTCTAATAAGTAAATTCCCCTATCTTTTTAATTATTAGTGAATTGAACCTATCCTTCATTTTTGTTATTACTAGCATCTACTAATTATTTTAACTTACATATTTGGCATGTTTAATTTATTTAATTTTGTCCCCAAATCAATTTTATTAGAATCTTTAAGCTAGAAGCAAGATTCTGCATTGCAGAGTTTTGATTTCCATAAATTTCGGCCATGAGTGAGTTGGATATATTGAACCCCAAACCTGATTTTATTCATTGTAAAAATAAATGATAAGATGGTAACTTGATCTTTTTGCTGCTGCTTGATTCATATCTGCCATTGCTTTAAGCCGAGATCCTCGTTTTTTTATTCCAATTATATAATCTTTACACAGGCAATAACCCTCATTCAACCATTTTCTTTATCTGTGCGATCAGATTATTTCTCAGGTTGTTTGTTGGACTACACGTGTATAGATGCCTTTTTAAGAAAGTTCTCTTTCACAGAAATATCCTCATTGCTGGAAACGGGGTATCTCCTTGCATAATTACTTGAGTTTTGATATCTTGAAGGTGGTATGAAATCCTAAGCAAGCAAAGGATGATTCAATGGTTGTGGGCCTAGCACTTTATTTTTCCATCTAAGAAACAATTGCTTAAAGATTTTAATAAAGGATGTCTAGAGAAGTCTCTGATGACTAGCACTTCATAAAGAAATTGTTAACTGGGGCTTTAAGAAAATGATAACATACTATGTTAGACTAATTAATTAAAAAAATAATAAGAAAATTAGGATAAATTTGGTACATAGTGACATTAAAGGGGTAAATTTGGAAGGTTCAAATGTTCATCACCTCCTCTAGATTTGTATAACCCATCTAAGCGCATTGAAAAAATTATTAATATGTAGAATTCATGAAAAAGAAGATTATTTTTCCCGAAATCAGTAAATTGATTAAATAAAAATATTATATAAAATCTAAACAAAAAGTAAATAAATGTTAGTAAGTGCATTAATTATTTGCCAAATACAGATGTTTTTATGATGCTTTTGTTATACAGTTTATTTTGAAAAAGAAATTTAAAAAATTAAAATCAATTTCAAATGACCATAACTAATAGTTTAGATTGTCATATCCTTCTTTTTAATTTGTAATATAATTATATTAACAGTTATAATTTATAATATTTATTAATTTGTAGTAATCAAATCTTAATATAATTTATAATTATATTATGTTTATTTTTCATTATGTGCAGCATGTTTGTGTACTTGCTGCTAATGTTTACACAGTTTCCTTGATTTTTTGTTGGGACAGATAGAAGCAGCAATCATTGTTTTATGTTAAGAAGAATAAAAAATATAGTTCTTCCCTCTCTCCCCTCCCATATATATATAAGATGGGATCTTATCTTATCTTCTTTATCAGAATTTCTTACATTATTATGCTGAGTAGTGTACTTTGCTTTCAGGATGACCAACTATGTGACTCTAGTTAGTGCACAACTTGTTGTTATGGCAACTCACATGGTACCTACTAGTACTGTTGCCTAGTGAAGTGTTTTGGTTTATATTATTATTTTCTTAATTCTTTTAACAATTGTCTTTTGTTACGGAGGTTGGGCTTGGGCTTCCGGATGGTGAGTCTTGGAACATTATTGAAACAATAGCGGAGAAAAACAACCTTGGTTACAAGCAACTTGTAAGTTGTTATTTGCCTATTTACAACATACGCTTTGTTTGGTAAGCCTTTGGCTTCTTTGGAGTGGCAGCTTTTTGGGCTGCACTCACTTGGTTGCAACCAAGAAATGCTTTTTATGCTTGTGCGGTCTGATGTATCACTAAAGTGTATAGCACCTTTCACGTTGAAATGCTTGCCAAACAAAGCCTTTGCTCGCCTTAAACTGGTTTGTTCTATTCTATTGGTATATTGATTTCAATCATTCCAGATTAAAATCAGAGGGTTTTTGTCGCATATTCACCAACTCCGGGTTGGTTATTGGGGGCTTTCAGTATGGAAGTCTCAAGCACCATCTTATGGGTTGCCATCCCCTCACCCTCAGGATACATATGATGAAAGTCAACAACAAGCTGAAGGTTCAGGTGTTGGTCGAAGTTGGGTGCAGAGTATGTTTAGCAGAGACAGAAGTATTAGGGCCAATTCTTTTGCTCGTGTTCGTAAGTGGGCTTCTGACAGTGATGCTTCAGGTACTCCCAATGTGTCCTATTGAAAGAATTTATCTCTTATTTTGAGATGTTCTTTCCATGTTAATTCCAGAATTCTAGATCTATTTAGTAGAAACATTCCTACACTATTCACTGGATTTTTCGGTCCTCAAGCTGTCATTGCTTCAGCTAAGTGATATATTTCTCCATAATAATTTGAAGACGATTATTTCCACTCCAATACAGAGCTCCCTGGTACAGGACAAAAGAAAATTCAATCAAGCGTGCGCATGTTGAGAGGCCATTCAGGTGCTATTACTGCTTTGCATTGTGTTTCAAGAAGGGAGGTTTGGGATCTTGTAGGTGACCGTGAGGATGCTGGCTTCTTCATCAGTGGAAGTGTTGATTGCACGGTCAGCTTTGTATCTTAATGCTTTGATGCATCTTTTATTGTAATTGCATTTTAGAAGCTTTTGAATATATCATTGTTTAACCATCATGTTTTTATTCTTCTGTAAACGTTATCATTTTTCTTCTGCACTGCAATTCAACACTTGATACACTTTTAGTTGCCATACTGATAATTACATTTTGTTTTTTAATGAAAAGCTGGGATCAACCCATCTCATTATAAACAAAGATAATGCTACAAGAAAGTAACGAGGAAGAGGAAAAGAAAATTAGAAAGCAGAAATTACGATAACAAAGTTAAGAAGGAAATAAAAAGAAAAAGAAAAAGCTTTTTAGCCATGTGCGGCCATGTAAGGGAATCAATAGATGATTTTAATAGAATAAACTTCATGCCTTTGTTGTTCTCAGTCCATAAATAAACCAAAGCAATCATGTCAGACCAGATAATTTTGTCTTTTTCCTTTTTGCTATAAGTTCATTTATTGTGTTTAACCCAAGTTGCTCAAATGATTGCTAAAGGCATTCCAAAGATTAGCCAAATCTTTGTTGATATGTTAGTCCCCCAAAGTAGTAAAATCAGATAGATTACTAGCTATAGGCATATAGATTGGAATTCCAAACCAACAAAATCTCTTTCAAATATCAGTAATAATCCAATAGTTGAAGAGAATGTGAGTCATCTTCGGGTGCTACATTAAACATACAACAAGCATGGCAGTTGGTAATTATCCAAGTTGAGTTGATAAACTTTGTTTGATAATTTTTTTTTTCACGCAGAAATCTATCCAAACATGAATTTTGATCTTGATAGAATGATTGGGTTCCAAATCCACTTAATACAAGAAAAGATAACAGCATTAATCAAGAAATTCTATAACAACTTCAGAATGAAATTTCCATTAAAGAGTAGACGATGAGAAGTATTGTTGGTGTTGGAAAATTGAACTTTCTGATGAGAGCTTACAAGATTAACATCTCTTACTTGAAATTAAGGAATATATCTTTTCCATTGTATGTTCCAACCTGAATTATTAGAATATTTAGATCGTACTAAACAAGAAGTGTTGTAATACATCTGAGAAAGCTCTTTAATTGATTGATAAATGGTAGCCCTTTGTCCATTTTCCGAATCAAAATTTGCTATACCTACCATATTGAACATTCCAAGCAATGCTGAGGAAGAAAGGTTGAATGCATTTACTAAAACTCTTAATAAATGTAGAGGAATTAACGAAGATGTGTTCTCAATTTAAAATGTCAAAGGATAATGATTACCAATGTACTAGTATTTAATAAATATGCCCACCAAAAATGAACCATCAGAGTTAGGTTACATATTCATGAATTAAGAAGATAAATATTAATGGCTCTAGATCATTAATACCAAGAACTTAGCATGCCATTGCTTTACTGTCACGACCCGGCCCGGTGAGCTAACATAAACGAGGCGGGAATGGATGTCAGACATAAGTTAGAACAGAACATGACAATATCATAAAACATGAATTATTAAGAATCTAAAGCAATCCAAGAGATATATTAATAAACGCCTCTAAAACAAAATTCATTAACTAAAACATTTCATATATATTCAAACATGTACAAAGGTGGATAAGATTTCTTTCATGCCAACTTCCACCCAAAATCAAAATCATCATACAACTACAAAACAACACAAGAGGAACCTGTTATGACGATAGGTGAACCAAGGTCGATCAGTCATTCCTAACAGCAGGGTCTCCTGAAAAATATCCCAAAATCAGGGAATGAGCTAATGTTCAGCAGGTATCAATTTACTCTACCAAAATTCAAATACAACGCAAGAAGAAACAATATGCATGCTTGACTTCTACTTCAAAGAATTTAAACAATAGAATATCATACAAAGTAGTCATGTACTATCTAGATGTTTTCTTATGTGTCATATTTCCTTTAGTGACATAAGTTTTGTATCATATGCTTATCATTTCATATCCTTCCCATCAATGTCATGCCTTGCATCAATAAACTTAGTATCTTATTTGTTTCATATACACATGTACCGGAGTATCAGAATTGTACTGATCAGGTACACATATTTAATGGTCATATCATTTTCTTTTCTTCCCATTCTTTCCTTTCTTTTTCCATATTGCCCCAAAGGGCCATATTTGCTCCAGAGAGCCATATTGTGCCAAGGCATCATATTGGTACTCTGCCTCAGCATGCACAAGTCCACATACACTATCTATTTTATGATAGATAATTAACACAGCTAACATTCATAAATATATTTCTAACCTTTTCCATTCTTATGCACGGCAAAATGTATAACTTTCAAGTATTGTAACAAAACAATTCAATAACACATGAATGACTTATGATATGCAATGCTACATATCAACATAATTGAAGTAATCTAGCATGGGTACAGTTTCATACTAATTCATTCAACATAAAATTTACATGCTTCTAAAAGGTTTATATACTTCAACATATAATGCATTTAATTTTTAGAAAAACATAAAAGACTATTGAATTTTGGAGATTCCACTGTACCTATCTCAAGCAAACAATTCTTCAAACCGTTGTCTCACCTCACACCGGTCTCTCCTTACAACTTCCCCTTTTTAAGACCTATGAAAAGAATGATTATTAGTCCGCAAGGTTTATAACTCTTACTCCTATAGTTGAATATCATTAAGTCCCTAATCCTAATTAAATGTCATGTATGTCTTGGTTTAACACTACTGTTGCCAGGTCCCAAGTCCTGGTGAGAAAAGTCGAGGGTTGCGTTAGGTAGTCGACAGCCAGCGTAAAACTTGTCGAACAATTGTGCAAGAAAAATTAAAAATAAGATGCTTTGTTATAAAAATTGGTTTAATTTTAAAAATTCTGATAATGGGGAAATATATAAAGTGGCTCGTACGGATGCTAAGAAAGCAATATGCGATGCAAAGGCATTAGCTTTTAGTGATTTATATAATAGAGATACGAAATGAGCATATACGTGAAAAGGTTGGAGTAGCTCCAGTAGAAGATAAGATTAGAGAGAGTCGCCTTAGATGGTTTGGTCACATAAAACGACGGCCTTCCAATAACCCGGTTAGGAGAGTAGAGGTCTTAGATTTGACTTATGTTAAGAAAGGTAGAGGCAGACCTAAAAAGACTTGGTTAGAAAATATTAGGAATGACCTTTCTTTGTTAGATTTAAACGAGAATTTGACTTTTAATAGGACAATGGAGAAAAAGGATTCATGTAGCCGACCCCACGTAGTGGGATAAAGGCTTGATGTTGTTGATGTTGTTGTATGTTACAACATATAACATAAGTCATAAATCTAATGTAAACTTTACCTAACATAGATCCCAATTAAAATTAATCATTAATCAATCCTAATTGTTAATCACTTTATTATTAACCCATAATCTAATGTATTTTATCACATCGCTTCCTTAATTAAGATAAATTTAAATGTTATTTTCGAATTTACCTAAAACCTCAATTTTAGAAATAGTATTTTTCATAATTTTCACTCCTTTTTCATGCTAAAACCTCTTATATACCTAACCCATAATTAGGATGTAATTATTTTCTCATTTCTTTAAATAAACATTTAGGAAAATAGCAATCTCACTAAACTCTAAAGTTTTTCTCAATAAAATTTGTCCTAGAGTTATTTATAATCTCATTTATGAAAGCATTTTCAAAGAAATCAAGATTTGGAAAAAGCCCTAGTTTTAGGAACATCAAAATTTTTAGAAATACTCAAAATTATGGTTTAAAATTCATCAAAAAAACTCCCTATACACTTTCTTTATTAAAATTCATGATTTTCAAAACCCCTAAATTTCTAATCCTAAAAATCTTGGAGGAGAGACAAAATTTATAGGGTTTAAAGCTTACCTTTTATCTTCTTGAGCTTTCCCTTCAATTTCCCATCTAAACCGCCGCCGGAAACCCGCCGGCCGCCCTCTCTTCCGCTCTCTCTCGTTCTCTTCCTTTCTCGGCCGAACAAAACAACACCCTTAGTGTCTTAAGAGTGTTGGGTAAGAGAAATGACGCATGTGCCCTTCAAGCGTAAAATTTCCTTAAGGCTCATGAGGGGTAAAATGGGCATAATAGCTAAATTTTACTTAAATGTGCTTCGACGATTTTTAGTTTTAAAACCGTGTGAAATTAGGTATAAGTTTTTTATACCGTTTCGATCGAAATTTCGCGTAGAATTTTATAAAATTTATTGCGTCGAATTCCGACGACTTTGAAATTTCACCTAATTTTGTCGTGGCGCATTGAAATGCGTGCGACACATCCGATGCACAGTTTTTGGGTTTTACATTTACCAACTAGCTCGAGTAAGTCCTTTGCCATTTCATTTACTTTTCCAAAACAAGTTCCTTCTAATGCAACCAATTTTGTTGATCTCAAAAAGGTATGGCAGCATAACACATTCTCCTTCTAATGACCTTGTTAGGGGTAGATGTATTAGATTCGGCTTATGTTAATAAAATCAGAGGTTGACCTAAAAAACTTGTTTAGAAATTATTGCAAATAACTTTTTTTTATTAGCTTTAAATGAGAATTTGCTTCTTAGTTCGACGTAATGGAGAAAAGTGATTCATTTAGCTGACCTCGTATAGTTTTATAAATGCTTGTTATTGTTTTACTACCAACTTAGGAACACAAAAGAAAGAAAAAAATAGTATGATGAGATTGGTGGATTGAGTTACTAAGATTAGTCCTTTCTTGTCCGAAGATAGTGCTACCTTTTCAATGAAAAGGCTCTAAAATGATGTTTGCTACCTTTTTGCACCAAGATGAATGCCCAAATATTTGAAAGAAAGATTTTTTGAGTAGCCCATCTTCTCAGCTAGATGATCACCTTTACTATCATGGTTTTCAACATAAGTTAAGGAGGATTTGGAGTAGTTGATTTTAGAAGTGCCTTGAGTAGAGAGAATTTTCTTAAGTAGAGAGCTTATATTTGGAAGTACCATATAGTAGAATGGTGTCATCAATAAATTGCAAACTTGTAAAGTGAGGCCAATTGGAACCAATTTAACCTCTTTGGTTCATCCCTATTAAGCTTTGATTTGGTACAGCTTATGATTGAGTTTTTATTTAATTTATTTGTTAGTAGATATATGAGCATGACTTGATTTCAAAGTATCAAAGTATATCAGCTTAGGAATCTAATAGATTTTATTGAACTTTATATTGAATATAGATGATGCAAGCAAAAACAAACAGGAAAGAGAAGCCACGGGAACACAGCCAGGGAGGAAAACCGAAAAGCCCACACAAGCACCCAGCAGGCATATCACGGGAACAGCACAAAGAAGAACCCGAGGAGACACAAGAATGAGAAGAAACAAGCTCCACTCCACAAACCTTTTCAATTTTATTAGCTAGGAAGTGCAATTACTCAACCTAATAATGAGCTAAACTTCAGCTCAAACATTTATGAGCTAGAACCAAGAAGATCCCAATTTTTTAGCTCAAAACTAGTGCAGCCAAAGCCCAACTCGAGAGCAGCCATGGCCCAAACCGTGAAACAGCAAACAACCCAAACAACAAAGGACCCAAAATGCTTTGATCCCCCCTTGCCTACATCAATAGATCTAGTAATTTGTACAATCATTTATACAACATATACATGATTTGGATGAAGTTAGTCTTATCAAATTAATAATTAATTATAAAAATTATAAGTTTGTTGTTGATGTGAATGAGAGATCTGCGGGATTCAAAGTAGGTAATTTGATAATGATGCGTTTGAATCCATAAAGGTTTTCTACAAGGGCCTTTAGCAAATTATCTGAAAGAAAGGAAAAGTTTTATAAATTTAATAAAGCTTTGGGAGTGACACCCACAAATTAGAAATCCTGGAAAGTACTTGTATTGTTATGGCTGCAACATATTGATTTGATTTTATTTTTTTCAAGATTTTGTACCAGGAGTATGGATTTTTCTCCTGTTCTATCCTCTCCTTATGAATCTACATCCAACATAGGTGTACTTTTTGAGCTTATTCATGAAGGTTTTATGGATGATTAGATTATGTCTACTACTAATCTTGAATATTAAAGATATTCTATGAGTTAGCATGGTAGTCTTACTTTTCATTAATCATGATCATGCATCACTCTACAGGAAGTACAACATTTATGCCAAGACAAATTAGATGAATATCAAATACCTACAGAGCCAAACTTATTAAACCAGACATATTTGATTGAAAATTGAAAGTATTCACTCATCAAAATCTCATAAAGTGACGAACATTATGGGTTTTACCTTTGCATTTTGTTTCGTTTTAGGTTATTTTGTGAAAAAAATGCCGTTTTATGATAGCTCTAGATAAAGGGTATGTATTTTCTAGTAGTTTGTTATGGTTCATTACTACAACGTTTCAACTTAGTTCAATGAATTCATGTCAGCACATTTAGAGTTTAGATTCGATTCAAAAAATTGTTATGATGGGAAGAGTTGGAAGGATGCTTGCTTCTAGACTAACGTGCCTTGTTCTGTGCTACGTTACCCTATTACCTTCTGCGTTAATTCCCACTTCTTCTACTGTTTCTACCTTGGCATCCATTACCTCCCTTTTTACTTTGCCGTTCATTAGGTTCTTGATGTTTTGATAATATTGTTGTTTCCTCTATTTCGTGCTGTCCATCATCTCGCCATACACGCTATTGTTTCTAAGTACTGTTGCTGGCTCTACTTCTAGATCTCCAGTACACTACTAGCCATGGCACTATATCACACTATTACATAAATTTTAACGCCTTAATACCCTACTATTTGGGCTTTTTTAGTTCTCTACTGATATTTTTATTTTTTATATTTATTGAGGGAAGTTGAGTCCTGGTGTTTCTATGGAGGGTTCAATGTTGCTTGAATTCATGAATGATGTATTAATTTTTCTTTTTTCAAAACTTTAAGTATCCTACTTCATTAGCCACTATACTCTTTATCTTCTCAAATTGATAATACAAGGTTATTTTTATTTTGTTGCACTTTTTGTAGATGTGCCGTATTATCCTGTTTAACAGCATTCAACACAAGATGTTTGCTTATGTTTATGTTTCTCTTTTTTTATTTAAGTTCAGATTAGGGAACTCCTGAAGTTCGGGTACTTTTAATGGGATATTCGTATGCCACGTGGTGCTTGGTGTATTTGGGGTGTTGTGTTAGCGTACCAGGCTTTCTAAGATCCACCACTTGGTTTTTGAATAATTCCTTGCAATGAATTTGTGATGCTTACTGTTTTACTTGATTGGCTGCTGGTTTTGGGAGTTGACAGTGATAAACATGTTATGACAATTAATGCCAGGTTGTGCATGATGGTTGGCAGCTGGAAGTTGGCATAAGAATATAATGGGTCAACAAGTGCTTGCTCTTTAACCTAATAGAGTGTTTTGCTAGATTTTTTAAACTCAAATTAGTTAATAATTATTAAAATTATGTAAGATACATGTCCAGACATGAATTAAGGCCTTCAAAATAAAATATAGTGCTATTTCACGAATCACATGCATCTTTCCACTTCATTTTCAGTAATATATACTTTAAAACCTCAAAATCTTGACAAGATTTGTTTAAGCAGGTTAAAATCTGGGATCCTACTTTGCGTGGGTCTGAACTTCGGGCGACTTTGAAAGGACATTCTAGGTGACCAAATTCCTGATTTAAACTAAAAAAATTCTTATCTATCTTTGTATGTAAGTTGTATTGCTAGATTTGTGAGTAATTGACTGTTAATTCATTTTATCTCTCTACTCTGATTATATTGTTCTTCTTATTAGGTACAATAAAGGAATAATATATTTTTGGACATCTATGTCTGCCTCTAAAAAGAAATCTTTTTTAGATTTAATTGCCTCAATCTTAAGCCCTAATATGCATTTGTTACCCATTTTAGTGCCTCCTTTCTTTTAAAATAAACAAGTGAATTTGTATATTAGTTTAATAGTTCAATTTTTATATTCCAATGCTGCTCCAGCATGCTCAAACACTACTCTTTTACCTCTTCTTCATGCCAAGTTGACTAATGCTCTACGAATTTTAATGAAGCATCATAACTTTTGTGTTGCTAGCTCCTTTATGCCACAAATGGCTCATGGTAGGTGAGGCACCTATTGAGTGATTCACTTTTTTGTGTCAATCATTTTAACCTGTTAGAATCCCTGGAGCATTCTAGTTTGCTTTTCTTCAGGCTAATGTGCATTGGGCTAGTGCCCGCCCTTTTAATATTTTATGTAATTTGCTGACGGGTTAAATTCTTCTTTTATTTTCATGATTACCCCATTTTGTGCATTCTGCGCTAACTTTTATTAACCCTATTTTTTCATTTTCTAAATTCAGTATAATCATTATCCTTTTTCCAACTTTCTGTTTGGCATTATGAATTTTCATTTTCCATTCATTACTATTGAGTTTCTATGCAAATCATTATGAATAATTTCTATCCATATAATCTTAGTTATGTACATTTTTTGATGTGAAACTAACAGGAATTGCACGGAAATATTAAAAGGATTGTGATGCTTGCTACTTAAGAGTAATGTTCAATAAGATGAGATTAAAGAACTTTCAATCGTTAATTTTATTGTAGTAAGCAGTTACAAGATTAGAAGTTTAGGACAAGTTAAGATAACTTTGAAATTATCACAGTAAAAACAAATATGCCGTAATAAAATCCCAAGCTTAATGTTTAGAAAGTTCACCATGAGTTATCATTCTCTCTCACACTCAAAGTACGGCTTAGCGGAGAAGGTTTTCAGCACACCCAATAATGTCACTAGGAAGGTCGCAATACCAATAGTTTTGATCCAAGAAAAGGTCTTCGGCGGTGGAGGAGGGGTGGATTGCCCAGTGAGTATACACGATCCGGCATGAATGTGTTCTTCAACGGAAGACACGAGTGTGAAGAGGATGCGGTTGATATATTCGTTGACGGTCTCGTCAATGTCTAAATTCACATCAAAGAAGGGTGATCCAAGGAGATCCGTTCTTCCTTGATTATCATAGGCGAAGCCGTGGTCAATTTCGGGATTGGTCATCCATGGATGCGGAGGACTCCTTTCTTGAACCTTTGGGTCGGCGGCTTGTTGAAGCAAAAAGAAGGGGAGGGCTGGCGGTAGGCTAGGGTTGGAGTGGGAGAGGAGCGGTTAGGTGAGGAGTTGGGAGGGGTTTCACTTCAAAATCTGAAATTGGGTTCAGATTTTTAATTAAAGTGGGCTAGGAGAATTTCAAATTTTGAAATTTGAAATAAATGGAGGTGGGGGAGGGAATTGGGGAAGGGATTTAATTAATTGGATCCTTGAGTGGATTCCAATTAATGGGATTGGAGAGAGAAAGGGTGGCCGGCCGTATAGTGAGGGATTTGGGGAGATTTAATTACTTGGATTGTGGGCCCAAGTAATTAAATAATTTGCATGGGAAATCTGAAATTAATTTCAGATTTTAGTGGATTTAGGGGTTGCCTAATTAGGGGAGGAAATTTAGGAGAGCATTTAATCCAAATCAATTTGAATTTTGAAATGCCTCCAAATTTGATTACCTAAATTAGGAAAGTAATTAATTCAATTAATGGGGGATTAATGGATGGTGGTATGTGCCCGGCAGTATGGTGAGGAGGTGGTGTGGTGGTGGGGCTAGGGTGGAGGCCAAGAGGGACGGCGGGATAGGCTAGGGTGGGCGGTGGGTTGGGGTGGTTGTCGGTAGGGGAGAATTTGGTGAGAAAAGGAAGGGGGAGTTGCGGTGAGAGCAGGTAGCCGGCGGTATGTGGGAGAAAGAGAGAGTTTGAGGGGAAAAGAGAGAGAGCAAGGGTGGTGCCGCGTGCCTCGGACTCTTTTCCAAAGGCTGACGGGTATTGCAATCGCCTCACCTAGGCCTTCATCTTCTTTCAAGCACTCAACATTGGAGAAAACAAAGAGAATTCAAAATTTCATTCATCAAAACATCCATAATACATAAGAAGTGGCCATATATATAGGCCTCAAGATGACAAAAGAAAAATAGACTAGAATGTCCCTTGGGATACAATAGCGACTAGCTACCAGTCTACCCATAGGGGTAAAAATGGAAAAAACTGAAAATAAAATAACTAATACATAAAATGCATCAAAAGTAAAGACTCTCCATCATGACCATCGATCTCCTGTGTCGCCTCTGATAAACACGTCGAAACCTCTTGTCAATGTCCCCATCATTTTTCTTCCTATTCCTATAATATTTATTTTATCAACTTGTCTAAAAAGTGCATTTTCTACAATTGGTTGTCCACGTCTAAATCAATTAAGTCTATTTTCAATTATTTTATCTTCAATAGATTTCACTTTGCCCTTTCCTTCAATATAATCATTCATTAATTTGCTGCACGTTCACATTTGTATTATCAATTCTGCCACACTTAAAGGCACTTCTCTATGTTAACCAACCCTCCTTAAGTTTACATCATTTGTATATCATTCTTCTATATAATAGATATAAGATACTTAAACCGATCACCTCTAATTTTCACATATTCTGATAAAATTTTAAATTCTTCAAGGTATTATATATTTTTTCTCTAAGTTTTGTAAGCCAAGTTTGCATTTTTGTTCTCTTCTTGGATAGTAATATACATATGTATGTATATTGTATAAATACTTAAGAAAGATTTATGTAATGCATTGTGATTTACCTAATACTATAATTTTAAACAGATGTCAAATTTGAATTTTAATTACTTCACCTATATAAATCATTATTTTTGAATGCTAATTCTCATATATTATATATAAGGCGAATTTTGATACTTTTAGACTATTTATCTTACTAGTATTTTATATTGATTTTATCATAGATGTCAAAGTTTTAGTTTTTTTGTATTTACTTTTTGATTAAATTTGACGCCTTTCTTTTAATGATGCCTGTAATGTTTATTACTGAAAATTGTTAACTCCAATGTGAATTCTTCTCTGTTTGCAGGCCTATTCGTGCGATCAATTCTGACAGGTGTAAGGTGGTATCAGGTTCAGATGACCAATCTGTCATAGTGTGGGATAAGCAGACATGTCAACTGCTCGAAGAGCTGAAAGGCCATGATTCATCGGTATGTCTATATTTTCTTGTCACAATTTCTAGAATTGCATCAGTTACCAAAAATAAGGGTACAGTTTTTCTTGTTGTCTATGTCACATTTTTTGTATTGTTGTATGGATTACTGCTGTATTCTGCCTGCCTCCCTTCCTAAAAATCCAAGTAGAATGTATTATTTGAAGCTAGCTTGTTAAAATTTGTGGTGTTCAAATTTGACAATCCTTAATGTATAATTAGTTTTATGATCATGTTTCTTACTTAGAAGTTGTTGTGGTCATAAATTATTTTAGATCCCTTGAACAGTTTGCTATCTTCAGCAGCGTTTCGAGTTAAATGCATCTTGGTATCTCAGGAACTCATATTTCCCTTGGTAGTCTTGTTTATCTTTGTTAAAATTTATTTCCTACATTTCAAGCTGCCTAGAAAGTAGCGGGCTGTAGCAATATCCATGCAGATGTAATATAGATAACTGTTAACCTCTGTTATGAAAACAATAAAAACTGCATTACCTCCGTAATCCCTCCCGAAATCCGGCAAGAAATCTCGCAAAATACCTATAGCTCGGCGCCGCTCGATATCTCGATCGGAAATCCTGCAACAATAAAAACCTGCCTCGATTTCGCTCCTTTTTGCGTCGCTAAATAGGAGCCGAAACCTCTTATCCCGTTCACTTCCTGCCACGACGCTCTTGGCTCTCTCATACGCTGCTTCTCCTCCCGAAATCCAGATCCACGACCGAACTCCTCCCCATCGTCTGCGACCGACCCCGTCCCGATCTCCACTGAAGCTGGCAACTTCATCTGATATTTTCCTTCCTCCTCCCGTAGCCTCTGCCTTAGCTTTGTCGGTTCTCACCCAAGCAGAGAGAGAGAGAGAGAGAGAGAGAGAGAGAGAGAGAGAGAGAGAGAGAGAGAGAGAGAGAGAGAGGAGAGAATCCCTACCTAGCCGAATCATTCTTCTCATTCGACCTCCCCTACCCAATCTCCTTTCACAGCTTTCACTCCCTGTTGGATTGTAGTTTGGGACAACTACAAGGATCACTTGAACTCTACAAGACAGCAGGGGACTTGAACTGGACATTAATGAACTAAGTATAAACTTGAACAAAATTTGAACTTAACAAATTGAGCAAAGGACTTGATTGGGACTCAAGTGAACTTGCATAATTTGAACTCAAGCAAAATTTGATTCAGAATCATAGTAGACATGAATTTGACTTTAATCAGATGAGGAAGACTTGCGAGCTTGAACATTGACTTCTATGAATTGAGCTAGAAGTCATGACAACAAGGAACTTGGATCTAAAATGGGACAAGACTTCAGAGGACTTTAATTCAGATTTGAACTTCGATTCAATCAGGACTTATGGACTTGAGCTTGACTCAAGGAACAATAACATTAGATAGATGGATGACGAAATGAAGATTTCAAACTCATCACGCACATTAAACTATCTTTGAAGGCAAAGAATTCGCAAGGGTAATCTATTTACAAGCGATAAGAAGATATTGAGAGATATGGTTGGATCACAAAGCTATGATAGTGGGTTTGAATCCTCGAATTGATAAAGCTGAAATGTAAAGTCCTAAACCTCAAGTTTTGGACTTTTGAATTAAATGTTAATAAGCAAAAGGAAAATTCGTTGCATGCAAAAGACAACAACACATACATGATTGTAAGCATGAATATAAGCTTCTCATAAGGTACAAGCAACCCATTTGTGAGGACAAGATAAGTATGACAATTATAACATCTTCAAACAGTCAACAATGATCTACGAGAAAACACATCAAGCTCTCAATGCATTCAAGTGGTGAATGATGAAAATAAAATGGGCTCAGAGTTTCCAACCAAACTTACTTGAGAATGACATTCGTATCAATCATTCAATCAACTACAATGAAAAAGTTATGCAATACATACAATCTCTCTACAAAGATAGATGTATGTGCCACATGCCAGTTATGGATAGATGCCGAAAGATTTTAGTAAATGCAGTATCCTGAAGTCAACCTCATTCTGTGCATGAATATATCTGTTGGAGAATGTTTTGTATCCTCGAACGGATTGCATATTTTATAATCGGGCATGGCATAAGAATACGATATATTACCCCGGAGGGTAAAAATACCATTTTCTTATGGGCTCAATAATAAAATTTACATTTATTTAACAGAGATTCCCCCACTCAATGTTTGGTTGAGTGTGCGAAAATATTCGTCAACAATATCTACCTGCAGCGATAGTGGATGCATTGTAATGACCAAAGACCACAACAAAATGCATGAAGAATACGACAAGTGCAAGCTTCTACGACCTAAAGCAGGAGATTCGTTAGTACACTATGATCCACCTGCGGAAAGCAATGAGTAGTGTATGACAATCTACCTGTACGAACCAGCGAACCACTCTATTCAGAAGCTGCTACAATATGCCACCGGATCCACAATTTCTATGCAAGCGGATAGAAGGAGCCGACAAATACTTTCAAAGTACCCCCGCACGTGCACTGTAATTTGTATACGCATAGGTACACTGAAAGGGGTAAAAGCAATTATGAAACCCGCATGGGCCCCGGCGAGCATGTTATTGGTATACACGTGACGTCTAGGGATGCTGCGCGGGTTATTAAATTTGAACCCGATTCTTCTAAGTAGATAAAAGGAGTTGACAAGGTTCAATTATAAAATGCCCCAAACACCCGCATGGGCCCCGGCGAGCGTGTTATTGGTACACACGTGACATCTAGGGATGCTGCGCTGGTTAATAAGTGAATTATTGTTCGAACCCGATCCTTATATACGGATCAATAGGAGTCGACATGATTCGAACCTTCAAACAAATACACGGTTGTGGAGATCGGTGTATTTATTTCAATGCATTCATATTAGGCCTTCAAGGCCTACAATCAAGAGAATTCATTAACAAAGGCTCAATGCCCGCGAAACCAGATCCCCTATCGGTAAGTCGATAGGGTTGATAAGGTTTAAGACATAAATATTCTCAAATGATTCCAAACACCCCGATGATGGCCGTGTTGAATGCAAATCTCAACCGGAGGGGTCCATTTCAAATAATTCAAAGCTCCACCCAAATGCCCACAAAAATTCAAAACTCCACAAAGTCCAAATTCCCAAAATCCCAAAAATTCATATATTTGAAATTGAAATCTATCCATCAATCATTTAAAGGACAAAAAAAAATCCACCATCCGCAACAGTTTGTCAGGGTGGACAAAATAAAAACTACTCTAGCTCACAAAGAGCCAAATGCATAGTCGAAAATATCACTAGGATCCATTCTCAAAATAGTCTCCTACAGTAAAGACGTGGTACGTGTCCTCTGACCGGCAGTTTGCCGCCAAATGGCACCGCAGGATAAACGGTTATGACTCGAGGCCATCTGAACAGAGTGGTTTTGCCGCCAAATGACACCACGAAATACCGGTTATGGCCAGCGCCGTTACGTTCCTTATTGGCATCAAATCGTTGAGATATAAATCAATAGGATATGATTGATAGGGCACAAAGCCCTCTGTTAGTTAAGGTGGATCTAATTTTGTCCCCTTAGGCAAATACCCATCGCAGGTCTACAAGGTACCCTTGGACGAAGCAACCCATGGCTGCCGACAAGGATCCTTCTGTCAGGTTGGGTCGACTACCTCCTTTGACTAAGTAGACCAGGGACTACGATGGCCTGGGACGACGGAACCATGGAATCTTGATTGGGTCCATCATCCATTCCCCCACCATCCGTTTTAAGTGCAAGATGGTGCAATTTCTAATTTTAAATATCAAATCTTCAAATCTTAAACCAATGCTGCTACTATATGCCAGATAACATGTATACTCTAAGTATCTGATTGACGACTAGCCTTAATCGAAAGTTCTCTCTCGTGATCGGGAGAGATAATTAACTATAGGGGCTTGCGCCTATAGGAAACCAGAACTCAGATCATAAAGACCTCGCAAAATGAGGGCGAAATCTCTGGGTAGTGTCTTATCTACCTATTAGATTTGACTTTTGTTAAGAAAGGTAGGGGTAGACCTAAAAAGACTTGGTTAGAAAATATTAGGAATGACCTTTCTTTATTAGATTTAAACGAGAATTTGACTTTTAATAGGACACAATGGAGAAAAAAGATTCATGTAGCCGACCCCACGTAGTGGGATAAAGGCTTGATGTTGTTGTTGTTGTTGTTGTTATAATATTAAAAATAATTTAAAATTATTAAGTCATTTAATTAGAATTTGTGCTTAAACTTATTAATATTAGGATATAGAGAGTGGTTCATTGATGCCGTGTATTAGACATCGAGAGAGGAGACGACAATGCTGTCGAGAGTTGGGCATCAATGTTATGTAATATCGGGCGTTGATGTCAAGATGACGTTTGTCATCGATGTTGTGAGGTCGTTGATCGTCGATGTTAAGATGATGTCGGACAAATATGAGCTGTTAAGTTGTATGTGTAGAAATCGCTAGCATCAAAGATGTCAGTGTCAGGCTTTGATATTGAGATAATTTTGAAATATCGATGTTGTAACTACGTCAGACGTTGATGTTAAGAAGATATTGGACATTGTTGTGAAACCAAAGTTATGGCCCGCTAAAGAGAAATGAAAATGAGAATATTCTATGAAGAGTGCGGCCGATTAATTTGGTGTTGTGAAAAGAAAATAATAAATTGATGTAGACACGCAAGTAAGAAAACTGACACAAAGGGAACAATGGATAAAACTTAAACCAAACTTTATTAAAATAAAAGCAAATAACTAAAACTTCAAAATCCAATAAGAAAACACTTAGAGATTTTAAAGAAAAATAAAAGACGCTATCCTCAGACAACCGTCAGAGCGGGTTCCTCACATACATCGAATTGTAGGGTAAATAAGATAAATGCATAAGACTAGCAAACCAATGGTCAACCACTGCAAGATTGTTGTCCAATTTCTCCAACAAATGCTTCCAAATCAACCAAGACACGACACCATAAAGTTGCTTCACTTTGAGA